GGAAGAATATTTGTATTCATCATTTTGTTATTCATAATTATTTATGAATTATTAAGTGACAAGATACAATTTTAAAATTGCAGTTAAAGGCCTAGTATGTAAAATGAGCTGCTAGAGGTTTGCGGGTCTCAATGATGAAGTTGTGTTTTGATGTCATAAAAAGGAGTGTGGTAATTATGGGTGTTGTTTAAGGCTGCATGATGCTGGAAAATATGCAATGTTGTTGAGTATTATTGCAATAGTTATATTTTTTATGATATAACATTTCAGTTTTAAAATGTAATTTTTGTTGGTTATGTTATTAAGTCATTTATTTATGTAATGATATTAAAATAAAAGGCTAAAATAAATTTATTCAGATTTAATTAATTTTAATTCAGACTTAAAAACTGTGTCAGGGTGCAAACTTTTATTATTTAAAATAGGGCTGGGTCGATCAACAATATTATGTTAAATTGCGATAAAATTGATATCAATAACATTGATAAGCTCTAGGATTTTTTTTTACTCTATATTGATCTAAGAGCCAGTCACACAGCAGAAATGTGCAACAATTGGAATCTAAAAGTGTTGATATTAGAGATGTACCGAATTTTCGGCCACTTAAGATTTTTGAGCCATAAATATGTTATGCCATTTAATAGACTCTCTAATTTATGGCTTCAATCATTGTTGGGGTACTCTTTTAAATCTGGAAGCGATAAGAACTAATATCAAAATATTTAGCGTTATAGTTCAATATGGAAAAAAAAGATCGAGATTGCATTTGTGCAACATCGCCCATAGTTTAAAACACTGAGTGAAAACCTTGGTAGATATTCTGACTCTGAATGGCTGTTTTCATTTTCTTCTCTTGTCTGGACTCCCGTCATAAGTATTTATTTTTATATTCATCTCTGGGTTCACCTTTCGGCTGCAGTAGCCTAAGCACCTACTTGGGAAGTGGGGATAAAGATACTAAGGCCCCATCTGGTTGGTCAAATTCAGATAAATAACCAGCATATAAAATAAATCTAATTATTTACATGTCTGCAATACGCATGTTGCTTATACTGTTTTTGCGAAAACGATAATTTTGTGCTATATTGTGCAGCCCATGTGTTGTTGTATTCATGTCCACAGCTTTGGAAATTGCTAATATGTTAAATAATTTAAGTTATGTAACTTGATCTTTTAATTGAACATTATTTTATTTCACTCTATTACTACTCATACAGGCCACTTTATCTGCATTCCCTCATGATATGCAGTTGAGTTTACATTGTTTCTACAGAAGTAAAAAGAACGTCATGGTAACTGTGTATGACTCCATTGAGAGTTGAAGCAAGAAAGGGGCTCTGGATAGTTCACCAATAAAGGTGAAAAACATTTAATCACCCTCAAGTGGTTATAAGTCATTATAAGTTTCTTTCCTCTGCTGATCACAAAAGAAGTTGCTTTGGAAAATGTTAGAAACCTGTAACTATTGATTTCCATAGTCTGAAAAAACAAATACTATGGAAGTCAATGCCGGTTTCCAACATTTTTCAAAATAACTTCTTTTGTGTTCAACTGAAGAAAGAAACTCATTGTAACAAGTCATAGTAGAATCAATGATGAGAGAATTTATATTTTTGGAGGATCTATATATTTGTGTGTGTGTTTGTGTGTTAAGACAAAGAGATGCAAAAACAAGGCATGTGCTTTTCATTTGACATTCATTATGTGGATTCGCATTCCCCTTAAACCCACTCATAACCTTTGAAATCTTAGATGTAATAAAGTGACTAACCTTCCTGGGAACTTTTATCCTGAGATGACCACAAACACACTGAAATTTTATCCTGAGATGACCACAAACACACTCAAATAACTTTCAAGATTGTTTGGTAGGCACTAAGTTTACGTGGGAAGTGCCCTTTGATGCAGTGTTGTGTCCTCCATCTGTTTCATCCATGCAGTTGAAAGAAGGTTTGATAAGATATTTGGCCAAAATCCTCAAGGTTGAACCGTCGCACCAGGAAAACCTGGAAAAATAAACAAATGTTAAAGTAACACAAGGAGGTAAAATGCAAATGGCAAGACATTATGTCTTTGAAAGAACCTGCATGTCCAGACATCGCAGAGTGATCAAACAAGCAAGCATTTATACTTTTTAAAGAATGTAAATAAGTAAATATTTCTATACCAGTGTAAACAAACGGTCATGTGTGTGCCATCTGTCTGTCTGACTGTTAAACATGAACCTGTTTTGTGCTTGGCTTGTGAGATTTAGAGCTAGGGCACATATCCACGGACGCTTTTTTCTTAGGGCTGCATGATATTAGAAAAAAGACATTGTGATTAAATGACTTCACTCTGTTTGGTAAGAATTCATAAATTTCGATTGATTTGGAAAATTTAGTTTGTCAAAATCAATTGTAATACAAGCATAGATGAATACAAAGATACAAATGACATGAACATGACTTTATGGTTTCCAGTAGAGTCTGACAGTATTCAGGTACAGGAATAAATATCACATGTAAATTAACAGTGTATAGTCTTCATTGTAAAAACAGTTAAATAAATTATTCTTTGTTAAAGCTACAACTTTTTAAATAGCTTGTGCCCATGTGGTTTAAATTAGCTTGAAATGCTTACACAAAGGCTTTTAAAGTACATCCAATTAAAAAAAATCACTTTCACTCTTTAGTTAAACTATTCAGTTCCACAAATCTAAAGTGTGAGAATAAAAGCTCAGTGACTTTGACTCTACTGATCATTACATTTTCCTTGCAAGTCTTGAAAGTTATTTTGGTATTACATGAAGTTTATTGGCTTGATTCAGGTCTTACCTATCTGAATGTTATCAGTTTGTGTTAATTAACAAAGATGCATCATACCAATTAAAAGTACACTGCGGGGTACCACAAGGTTCAGTTCTCGATCCCTTACTTTTTACATTACGTATTCTTTCACTAGATGATATCATTAAAAACATGGAGCTAATTTTCGCTATCATGCACAACTCTTTCTCGTCATAATAATTTGTACAAATTCACAAAATTAACATATTGTATAGCTGATTGGATGACTAAAAAATTCTTCTTATTAAATTCAGTTCAGTCCTCGTCTTCAGTCCAAAATTTGGGGGTGGTTTATGATGGCAACCTGTCATTTGAAAGCCATGTTTTCAGCATCTGTAAAACTAAATTTTTTATTCTAACTGTGTTTTTTGGTTAATCATAATCCCATTTTGTAATTGCAGATCATGCAATATCTACAGTCATATCGATGCTAAAACAATATATTGTTTGGTCCAAAATTTTTTCTCAGTTGGGCATTATTTATTTATTTATTTATTTATTTATTTATTTTTTGTGTAGTTGTCGATAGCTTGCATTTTATGCTCATTGCTAAGCATTTTTTTAAAAAGCTCCAGCAGTCACTCAAAGTTGAGAAGTTTAAAAACAATGCTGGTATTTTCAGTGCTTCAGTGGAAATGCACCCTTATACGTACGTCACTGGATCCCATAAGCCCATGTGTCTGGGATGTTGCCCAAAATCCTACAGACAGAAATAAAACAGAACAGTACAGCAGTTTTGTCTTGACACTGATTTATGAAGCACTGATCAGACTAAACAGTCTTTGGCAGACAGCAAGAAGTGTCAGTAATGTATGTTATAATGTCACAAAGTCAAGGTGTTTTGAAACTCCTTTATAAATTTCACCTTCCAGTATTTTTACATTCTAAGCAGAGAATAAAAATTACTTCAAATTGAAAGTGTACAAAGTACACTTCCAAGCCTCTAGGCAGGGGGGTTTGGATGGTTCGAAAGACCCACCCCCTACTGACAAAGGTCCTGAACTTGTCCCACATGAGCTCATTTGTCCTATTTTGACTGCTATGTCATCATAAATTGTGAAAATAACTCCTCAAAGAAGGCTTTAAGGCAGAGAATAATCTGACAGAAGTAAAGTCATCTTTCACCACTGACCTACTGTATCGTTTTTAATAGAGAAAACATTTTACAACTAACTTTTATTCTAAATCTTGAAAGACGAAATGACCAATAAAAAGGTCCAAGCACCAAAAGTACATTTTGAAGCATATAATCTTAATTTTAATAGTAATCAGGCTATTGTTGGATCCATGAAATTTTAAACCTTTTTCAACAGAGGCAGAAAAATTTAGAAGCTTTACATTTAGTATTATTATTATTTTTATTATTATTATTATTATTATTATTATTATTATTATGCGTATATTTTTATTATTCAAGTGACCATATTCTGACTGAGGAAAGTTAATGTGCTGGCCAGTTTGTTATTTGCTTATTTAATGTCAATAATTTGCCTTAATAGGCAGTTTTTTTTTTATTTAAATCTTAAACAGATTTTTTCCAAATGATATATGATAAAAACAATAGGTATAAATAAGTTTTTTTTTCATATTCATGTATACTAAATCTTTAGGAAATGCTTTGGTAGATAAAAAAAAAATATGGTTATGACCACCCGACAAGCTAATCCAGAAATAAATAGTGCTTAAAATATCACTAAAATGCAGTAGCTTACTTAGTTAAATAGAAAATAAGGTAAATAACTGTAAAACGGTCCACGTTTTGATAAAAAAATAACCACCCCTTTCATCAGGCTGGCTACAGGCCTAATTTTTAAACTTAAAGATTATCTCCATAAAATATTGATCTTTAAACTCATACTCTTTTTCCCACGGAGGCATGTCTCTTTCACTCACACGTCATTCTTTACTGTAAACAGTGTCTGTTCTGAGTCATTAAGAGGTGGTGTTGTTGTCTTTCGTGAGGTTTAATTCACCTGTTCTTCACAGTCTACCTGTTCTGACATCATCATGGCAGCATTGACAAACATTCTGCTCTTTATCCTTTAGAAATAGTTAGGTGTTGCCATGCAACAAGTTAAATATATTAGTGTTTCTGTCAATGATTAATTTGAGCAGAGTATCTGATCGTTTTCATTCTAATGTGTTTCTTTTTTCTCTGTTGTCTTGCACTAGTCCCTAGAGCAGGACCAGATGTCCCTACAGAAGATGAAGAAAATCGTGAAGGCCATCCACAACTCTGGACTGAGTGAGTGTGGTCTACTTTTCTAGTGTTCCTTAGCTTTGGTTGTTTATTTAATTGTTTTGTCGAGTACAGTGGAAGTCACCATTGTCGGCTTCATAGGCTCTCATTGTTCACAGCAAAATTTGAAGGCTCACAAATGGAATAAATAGAGTCCGGAAGTTTTGGAGCTGAATGCAGTGACAGCATTTAGTCTCTCTTTTTTTCTGCCTGTCTCTGTCTGTCTCTTTCAATTCAAAATTGTTTTAGTATGACGTGTCAGGTATTGCCAAAGCATTGCAGATTGCATAAACAATTAATAAAATTGTAAAAAAAAAAAAAAAGATTATATAATAATCTTTTATAATATAAAAATATTTTTTATATAAAAAAGATTATATAATGCATATATACAAATACCAGAACAAAAACACCAAATTAAAACCTTGATACATATAAAAATAAGAAAAAAAGACTAATATGATTATTAAAAAGATTAAATCATTATTATTAATACTGATAAATATCAAATAAAATACAATGCACACCTGTATAATCATCAAGATGTTTTGTAATAATTTTTCTGACTAGTTTTGACTGCTGGCTGACTCTCTGTTCATGACAGGCTAGTATGTACTTTGCTGCTGTTGATACGAGACTGAAGTTCTGTTCTATGATATGACTCAATTTTTCTGTATTTGTTATAGATGTAAAATATGGTGTATTTATATGGAAATTAGAGAAGTATGTGGATCTGTTGTTGTCTGTCTGTCTCTCTCTCTGTGTCCTAAAAATGATTGATGACAGAAATTGTGGCACAGACTTGCATTTCTAGACTTGCAATTCATATTTAATAATCAAATAAAGAGCAGATTGGCTCTAGAATATAGAAAATAAACCCCAGATTCTCCTAATGAGGTCAAACACAGTTTCAGTGCCTTATTTTGACTATCCTTCCTGATGCACATGGTCACCTATGAAAGCAGTTTGGCTGGATTTACTAAGAAACTTTATCATATAGATAAATTAGAAATTTTCATCACTGGTGTCTTTACTGTAGACAAATACATCAGGGGGGTTCAACTGCATGTTGTCAACATCTGCTGCCTTTCAAACCTGGCCATTTTATGACATTATATTGTGCTTACTTACAAAATCCTGACTGGAATGCTTCTGGTTTCTGGGAAGTGAGTCTCAGATTTGCCTGCTTCTCGTTTCTGAGGGCACAAGCCCCATTTCTCAATTCTGTGAGTCACTGTTGAGCTAAACGCAGAGGAGGAGACCCCACATCATCTCCTCCTCTTTCACTCTCTCTAACTGAAATCAGATGGCCCATTCCGGTAACATTACTACTGCGGGGCCTCAGTTTCCTGCCCCTGTGAGCTTGTGGTGGAGATAAACACACTAATTTATGAGTGAGTCCTAACCTGAACCTGATAAAATCCACACTTTTTCTGATTCACCCCGTTCTCATTGTGCTAGGATGTAGGTCTGTTTGTGTGAGAAGCTATAAAGGCTGTTTTGCTGTTTTCATATAATAATGATTCAGAGCTAAAATATTTATCAGCTCCTCCTTCATCAAACCGTTTCTACTCTTCACTCCTAATCTCCTTTACTTTTAATCTTGGTGAGGAGGAGTCTGTGGAGATCTATTAGTGGTTGTTTTTAAAGGCAGCCATCATCACGATTACTATTGCTCATAATTGTGGTTTGAGATCTGAACCTGATGGTTTTAAGGCCCCGATAAACTCTCAGCTGTTGTTTCATGTTTTTCATTGAGGGGAAAAAGTTTGAAATGTCTGAGCAGTGATATTCTGTTATTGATCATCGTCATTGATTCATTTTCTTTTCGGCTTAGTCCCTTTATTAATCTGGGGTCGCCACAGCGGATTGAACCACCAACTTATCCAGCACAAGTTTTAGGCAGCGGATGCCCTTCCAGCCACAACCAAAGACGGGGATATAAGGAACATCTTTGCATTAAAAAATAGTAACAGTGAAACATTAACAAAGCAGTTATAAAAGTATAGCGCTGTGCACAAGCATTATATTTGGAAACTGAAAAACTTCTCCGCATGCTGATAAATACATTTTTCAGTTAGGGTTAGGTTAGGGTTAAGGTTAGGGTTTACAAACGCTATAGACAGCTGATTTTATTTAAATTGTTCATCACTAGTTATCACCATGGATCAATATGAGTTTTAAGATGTTTTAAAACTGGAACTACAAGAGTTCTATAACTACTAGTATTAATACAGCGGCCATTCTGATTGTTCTCATATTAGACATCATGTTGTCACATCATGTTTACATTTAAAGCTTTTACTGAGATACATTAAAATTCAGCTTTGAATGTCAGTTGTCATATCTCATTAAGTTATCAGCCTAAAAATATGATCTTTTTGGTAATGCAGCCTATAAATGTGTATTAGACCATCTACGAATGTCTGCGCCTCACTTTCATTTTCACTTTCACAAGAAGGGGAGAAGGCTTTTTCACGCCACTGAATATGCTGTTTAGAAAGACGTATCTGAAGTAAAGTTATGTTTTTGCTATCAGAAAGTCATGTTTTTGTTAGCAGGAAGTTGCTAGGCAACAGAAACATGTATATTAATAGGCACAGGGAAAAGTAGCAGAAAGTAACTGTTTCTAATCTAAAATGCAACCTAACTTTATGCACAAAACTGGATTATCGCATAAAAGACATGTGAATACTGCAGGGTTTCCATCCAATGAGTCAAAGCAAACAATATCATCACTTCCTGATTAACTGGTGCCAAATATCAACAGTAAAGACAGAATTTGCTGCAGTAGGAGAAGCTGCGTGAGTCTTTTCTTTATTTAATAAATCACTAGCGCCTCAGAAGACGATGCCGACACAGTGAACACACGGTGTCGTTTGAAGGCGTGAGCACAGATGCTCGTGATTCTGAAGGTGATTAATAATATAATAACACTAATACTGAAAGAGTTCAGGCATTTTGGAATGGCCGCTGGTTTATCCATTCACACACATTTTTATCATCACATGATCTCTTACAACAAAATCACATGAAATGCGCATACTGGAATTTGTTTGGTAAAAGCGTGTCCATCATAGGTTATGTTTTTTAATTTTTTCTTATTAAATAAAAAGTTAATTTTTCCATTTCGGTTATGCACGTGTTATTTATGCACATTTTCAAAATTTATGTGCATCTTGGCGTTTCCATCAACTGATTTTTTTTGTACACATATCCAAAATGCGCATTAAAATAGGTGGATGGAAACATAGCTACTGAAATGCATGCATTTTGACCGCTAGTGTACTTAAAGCTAGAAATACTCATAACTCAAATTTTATTTTTTTTTTTTATAAAATAGCAATGTTATAAGGAAGTTTGCTTATATTTAGGAAAAGTCAGGGTATTATAGATCAGGGTGTCTGCAGGGTCTTAAAAAGTCTTAAATTTCGAAAACTAAATTTTAGGCTTTAAATAGTCTTAAATCCACTAAAATATTGTCTTTTAGGTCTTAAATCATTTTAAGCAGGTCTTAATTTTCCAACCAGGCTAACACATTTAATCACCAACAATACATCTCAATAAAACCTTTAACAAAAATAAAATGTATTACCTCAATGTTTTTAAGTCTACTGTATGTAAGCAACAAGAGTTGGCTTGTTTTGACATATTATTTAAAATATGTGGCTGAGAAATAACAAAAGTTGTTTTTTGGAGGGGACCATTAAAAATCTTTTCCATTGGCCATCAGAAAAAATGCTTAGTGTTTAACCCCAGATAAGTCTGAAACTTTATTCATAATGGCCTTTAAAAAGTCTTAAATTTGACTTGGTGAAACCTGCAGAAACCCTGTAGATATGTGGGTTTAATTTCAACAAAATTATTAAATTTCAAAAATGTAAAATAGTCAAAAATGATCACCTCTGTACCTGAATAACCCTTGGATAACAGCAAACTTCATTTTACCCTAATTTTCTTCAAAATAAGAGTTAATCTCTTATTTCAATTTCGCTTGAAGCATATTGGGCCATTTAATCAAGTTGTTTACCGTATTTTTCAATCCATCAATTTTACTTGTTTTGGAGGAATAGTTTTAATTTAATTTATCTTTAGTATTTTATAGGTACCCGACTCGCCACAATTATTACACCAGTGTCTTTTGCAAATGTTTAATGGCATAACATTTCTTAGCAACATCTGATGTTTCTGCTGCTGGGTTTCGATGTGTTACAAACATTTTGAGTTTAGTAATATACCATGTATCCAAAAAAAAAACTGAATTGTGGCTATTTAGTTTTTATTTGCGTGTTTTTAGAGTAAGCAAAATCAATCTTCGGTTTGTTTAATGTAACTGGTGGACCATAAAACAGATAAAATGAAATTGAAAGTTGAATGTATTTTATGAATGAATTCACTACAGGTAACCCTCAGTAGGTCATTCAGAGAGCTGTTTATTTAGTCTATATTTGCATTTGCCTGCATCCTAACAGTGTCATAGTTTAAAACAGAACCGCTGGCTGTGAACTAAATGCTGCTGAAGACATGCTCACAATAACACAGATGTGGCAGGCTCTTTTAAGTGTTGATATCGGGGTCATTTTTTCTAAAAAGCAGGGAACAAGATCTGCTTCAAGGTTCACTGGGCTTCACCTATGGTCTCTGGAACAAATCAGCTCTCAGACATGTCAAGAAATGAATTAACAATACAAATTAAAGCTGTGTGTCTGAAAGTGCTCACAGATGCCTGAGGGAATAAAACCGTTTCCAGATCAGGGAAGTGTGTTTGGCGTCTGCGAGTAAAGTGCAGTACTGTTTGAGTAAGTCTGACTCACTGGGAAAACACAGTTGATTGGATTCCATGAAAGAGGAAGTGTCAGCTAGACATTTGACTGAACTTAAAAAGAGGGAAAAATATATATAAAAATCCCCGAATTTTTGGTCATTTTTCTGAAATAATGTTAAATTCTTCTTATTGTGTCTAGTTTTTGTATTATTTTTAACTCATCGTCATACAAGTTCAAGTCATACAAGTTCTTACATTATCAGATTTATAAACAATGTTCAAACATGCTGATTTCTCTTATTTATACGTTATTTTTTTATTTATTTTTTTTAAGAAAGGAAAAGAAAATACAAATATTAAATAAAACATAATAAAAATACCATAACACATCGGAACTTAAATGAACACTTGGCTGGTCACATTTTTCCTTACAGGTCACATTAACAAATAAATATAAAGATCAGTTTACATTGCGTAAAAGCAAAAGTACAATATTGCAGGCATTTGTCCAGTTGTAGTTTTAAAGAAAAAGTCATCCTATCCATATTTTAAACGTTAGATACTATATCCAACCTTTCCGATTTGTTTTTAAGAGGTTCGAATTTTTAGCCACTTTCGAGTTACTGTTTTCTTACTGGTTGCTATTAGTATTTCATGCTAATTTCTCTTGTTTATTTTGGGTGTCATTCAAATAGATTTAAATTAGAATACAATCTTCATTCTCCGTTATCCTTCATTTTTGTGTTCACATTCTGTATAAAAATATTTAGTGTAGCGAAATTAAATGTTAATGGTACAAAACTTTTATTTTTTAAAAGCACATACTTTTCCTGCATCTGTGTCTTTGTTTTTCCTTGAGCAACTTCCTGATAAACCAGTCAAAGCCCTAACCCATCCCATAGTATGGAGAGGGCAATGATCACTGGATAGGAACGTTGTTTGTGCTTTTCAGTCCAGGAGAATGCGCACATCATGTCTATAACACGATATATGCTAATTCCAGCGATGTTCCCTTGGAAAGCCCAGAATGTGTGCACAATACTTGTGATCATCATGAGTGGAGATGACTTAACATTGCTTTATCTTCCATCTCAGTGTACCTGTTTATTTTCTAGCCGTAGAGCTGAGAGCTCTTTGATCTGTAGTGCAGACTGAGCCTGTGGTGATTTCACTCTTCTTGCCAGGAGCTCGCTGTGCTTCAGCTGCTATCATTTTCACAAAATCCTGTTTTCCTCTATTCATTTGATCATGCGGTGAGGTTTGTAGGATCACACGGTTTCAGAAACCGAATAAACTTTATCACTGTTGAAAATTGTCTTATGTCTGACTGTGCTTATCTCAGCATTTTAGAATGATTTCTGAAGGATCATGAGCTTATTTGGATGTGTACTTATGTATTATAATACATGTATTATGGTGCATGTATTTTGGTGCATTTAAACAAAACAGATTAATTAAACTGATACATTTATTAAAATAATATTTTAGTCACCAAACATATTTTGAAATTAAAGATAATTCAATTAAATTCAAGCAAATAATACAAAACTAAATCACAACCTACAAAATTTCAATTTTGCTTCTGTAAATTTTTCTTCTTTTTAACATTTGTATTTAATATTTTTCTATAACATACATTTGGGTGTACTAGTTTTTAGACCATTATTTTGTTAGATAAGCTCCAGATTTGGCTTCAATACTGACTAATCTAATGTAAATGCACAAATATAGCTTCCTATTAAAAATATGAATTTAAAAGATAGATTTGTGAGGTGTACTTGTATATGCTGAGCGCTGTATGTCTATATTTTTACATCGAATTTGCATCCATAACAATGTTTGTAATTACATCCTTTTTTATATAAATGTTGTGCGACAAATTTTTTGCATTATGAACACATTTATATATTGGTGTATATGTGAGTAATGTTTAGGTGTATATGCACATGTTTTTGTACAGTTGAAGTCAGAATTATTAGCCCCCCTTTGAATTTTTTTCTCTTTTTAAATTTTTTTTTTTTCCAAATTATGTTTAACAGCAAGGACATTTTCACAGTATGTCTGATAATATTTTTTTCTTCTGGAGTAAGTGTTATTTGTTTTATTTTAGCTAGAATAAAAGCAGTTTTACATTTTTTGAACACCATTTTAGGGTCAAAATTATTAGCCCCTTTAAGCCATTTTTTTTGACAGTCTGCAGACCAAACCATCATTATACAATAACTTGCCTAATTACCCTAACCTGCCTAGTTAACCCAATTAACCTAGTTAAGCCTTTAAATGTCACTTTAACCTGTATAGAAGTGTCTTGAAAAATATCTAGTCAAATATTATGTGCTGTCATCATGGCAAAGATAAAATAAATCAGTTATTAGAGATGAGTTATTAAAACTATTATGTTTTGAAATGTGTTGAAAGAAATACATTAAACAGAAATTAGGGGAAAAATAAACAGGGAGCTAATAATTCTGACTTCAACTGTATGTGTTGATGAGCGAAGTTTCGATGAAATCCTACATATAAATAATAATAATAATTATAACAGGCCTATAGCCGGGGAGGTTCGGGTGGTTTGAAAGACCCACCCCCCACCGTCAATGGTCCAGAATTTGTCCCCTACATTTGTCCTATTTTGACAGCTATTCCATCATAAATTGTGAAAATAACCCACTGAAGAGGGCTTTAAGACCAAGTGAAATCCTCTGTTGGCTAATCAGTTTTGGCCAATGCTAAGAATTATTTTTCACGAGTCCAACATCTACTAGAAAACATACAATCTGACGAAAGTGAACTCAAAAAGAACAATAAAAAAGTATGAAAGTTCTTTGAACGTGACTTTAAAACGGTTGTTTAAAATGGTCAAGCTGTTTAAAAATGACATCAAAATCATCATTATTATGACAATTGAATGGCAATATTAAGTGTAGGTGAAATGTTAAGTACAGGAAGGACTTTCATAGCACTACATGCTAGGGGTTTAAATTACATAGGTGCTCGATTTAAAATATTAGTGATTTAAAAAGTCCTTGAAAGTCCTTCAATTTGGTGTCCATGAAAGAGTGGGAACCCTGTTAAGGTAATTTTAATTCTACTTGGGCTATTGTTATCCATTGAATTTCAATGTAACTTTTTTTACAAGGGAAAAATCTAGAAAAATTGTGTAGCTCTACATTATTATTATTTTTTTATTAGTTTATTTTTTATTCAAATGGCCAAATTATAACTGAGGAAAGTTGAATGTGCTGGCCGGAGTGTTATTTGCCTAATAAATAAACATAAGCTACAGTTTTTATATTAAAAAAATATATTCCATTTTTTATTAATGATAAATCATGTAATAAATTAGTAATTTTTTATCATAGCTATAATTTAAAAATGTTTTTTTTATTTTTGAAGGAAATGTTTTGGTACATCAGAAAGTGTTGTTATGATGACCATTTGACAAACTATTTACACAAAAAAGAGCTTAAGATGTCATTAAAATGCAGTATTTAAACCTCATAATTAAATAAAAAATGAGGCGAATAACTGCTAAAAAGTTCACCTTTCGAGAAAAAAGAACCACTGCTTTCATCAGGCTGGCTACAGGCCTGTATAATAATAATACAATTTAACAAAAAGAAAAAAAAAAAACTAAATCTTACGACCACAACCATTAAATGGTTAAATGGCTTTTCCAAATACAATTACTAATCAATAAAAGCATGTTCCACCCTACATTTGTTTTTTATTGAGTATCCTGTTTCGCAAGTGTCCTGTGTCACATTATCAAAGAAAAGTAGGTTGCAAACAGTTTTGTATTTAACTTCTGGTATGTCCTGTTATCTGCAAAAAGGTCAATGACAGGGGTGTCTGTCGATTGTTAACTGTGTGATGTTGTGTTGCCAGATCATGTGGAGAATAAGGAGCAGTACACAGAGGTTCTGGAGAATCTGGGCAACAGTCACCTGTCGCAGGACAATAATGAGGTCTCCACAGGCTTCCTTAACCTGGCTGTGTTCACACGAGAGGTCACTGCACTCTTCAAAAACCTGGTGAGCAAAACAAAATCTCAAGGGTCAACTATATTTACTGAACACAATGATTTGACTATTTACTTTCCCTGTTTTATAATGAAGTAATAAAAACCTTTTCTGTAGTGATGGTCTGATTTATTTGGCTCATTTGAGATTATAGTTTGATAACCACATCTGAGCTATCACATTACAATAGGTCATTGGAGCTTAGTAATTACTGTGTAAGCTTACAGTTAATTTACCCATCATGACACTCCTATTAGAGTTACTGCTATTATAAATGGAGGCATTTGTGTGACTTTATAAAATGTATTGGTGGAAGATAAATCTGCAACATGTTAGTAATGCACTGAGAAATACGTTACAAACATTTGCTTTAAACAGCACAGATATATTTTCTGTTTTCAACTGTTAAAGAATATAATATAATATAATATAATATAATATAATATAATATAATATAATATAATATAATGGAACGGAACGAAACGGAACGGAACGGAACAGAACAGAACAGAACAGAATAGAATGCAATGTAACAGAACGGAAGAGAATGGAATAGAACAGAACGTAAAAGAGTGTAACAGAGCAGAATTGAACAGAACAGAACTTAAAAGAGCGTAATGGAACAGAGTGGAACAGAACGGAATAGAATGGAACAGAACAGAACTTAAAAGAGTGTAATGGAACAGAGTGGAACAGAACGGAATAGAATGGAACAGAACACAACAGAAAGAAACAGATCAATCAATCTGACCTGGTAAAATAAAAAATACATAAAACATCCTGTTACAGACCTAAAACTGTATAAATGCTGATTAAAAATGGAAATTTGTTGTCTCTAGCAGGAGGTGCTTATAGAAGTAACAGTGTTGTCTTGGTTTAAAGCTGTATGCAGAGCTGATTGTGTTTAATATGAATTATACAGGGCTAACATTAATCTAAGAAAAAAACATACCATCTGAACTTTTATTATGACAGTATGTTTCACTCAAATGCCTTAATAAAACCCCACACAATAATATTTAGGATTTTCACTCATCATGAACAGTATGTATCCCAGTGAGTGTTTTTAAACAGCTTACTAACTTATTTTAATCCACACAATAAATACAATTTTATATTCTGATGCACAATTATTTTGAATGAAGCCCATGAACATTTAGTATAGATGTTTACTCAAGCTTTAGACTTTGAAATACATACCTCAAGTGTTCACCTAAATGAGCCGTAAGCTAACGAAAACTGAATATGAACATGAACATGAACATGAACATGAATATGATCCCTACAGTATTTAATGTTGAAAGTATTAAGGAATCATGGAAGAATAAAATGAATGAAGGTTAAAGATTTTTTCAATTGATTGCATCTCATACTTTTTTATGAGTGTTTGGCACCGTTGTCATCTCTATTCAGACTGTAAAAGCCTGTCAGGGCTAGCATGTTTCTGTATGTTTGCATTGTTTTTCTGACTTTAGTGTTCTTTGATCTCAGTTTACATTTCCTTTATAGACTTTGTAGTATAAAATTTTTGCAGGCATTGCAGTTTGGATGGAAATCCGGACATAAATCAGCCGTCCTGAAAGCAAAAAGTCTCTGGTTGTCGATCATCCGTTTTTAACCAAAAATGATTAGTTCTGTGTTTATTTCCGGTCGATTGGTGCATCCCTAATAAAATGGACAATATTCACTTACTAGTCATGACTCTGATATAGACACTCAATGTTCTGCATAGTTTTGTGAGTATTAGCAGAAATGAAAGCTGCTTCTATGTAAATTGTGCCTGCCTATCTCTCAAAGAAGTCTGGAAAATTATTGAAAGGGGACAAAAGAGATGGATTACAACCTCAGGTGTCAACAGTAATGTGTCTGCTTGTCTTCAGATTGACCAAAACACATCTTAATACCTGGCGTAACAGAAAGGAATATCTTCCATGTGCAACACATTTGAGTGTAAATGTTAAATCACCTGTGTAATTTATGATCTTTCCACTAATAATGAGAGGAAACGGTTAATTTACTGTCTGACTAGCCAGTGTTATTTAGAAAGCACCTTTGGGTGTATGTCTGTGCAGCTTGTCTTCTCAATATTTATTTCTGAATAAGAAACAGCAGACTTACAGCTGTATAAAGTACACAGGGGACTGGGAGAGGTTGTGTGTGTGTGTTTGCATGTGTGTGTATATGTGTCAGCGGGGGTTCAACAGCTGCAGGCAAGGGCCCCTCAAACCACAGCGCCCGGAACCCTCCCACCGATAGTCTCCATGGTGATGTAATTTATACCAGGCCTGAGAGCCTGAGTGGAGAGCGTCTGACCACTGAGCTGTCAATCAAATGATCACCAGGGAAAGGAACCTCGGCCTAAAAAATACAACAGAAACACTGCTAAGAAAATAAACTCCATTTGATTTAGCGCCCTTGAGTGAGGGCCATAACTTTCCCTCAGGGTCAAATCATTATTCAAATTCATGAAGATTTATATATGTAACATTCATTTTGCAAGGTTGTAAATCCATAATCAGCAACATTATAAGTTGACAGTGTCCTTGAGAAATGTATTTATGTACGTGCATAGTGTTTATGTCATATATCTGTCTGTCTGTTTATCTGTGGAAAAATATCGATTTGACATTGATGGGGATCTACTTGATCTTGAAAGTATGTATGCAAAACAAATTAGGTTTTTCCATTTACAATCGGTCAATTTCTCAGATCAGAAACTATTCAAAACTACAATATAGTCACTTGTACACATCATAACAGCAGTTTCTTGTTGTTTTGAACAAGTTGGATTTGTTTTTTTGTTTTTTCCTATGTGATCCTACACATGTCACGTTGATCAAAATGTATTGGATAGTTCTCTAGTGTGCAAAAGTGTTAGCCCTCAAAACAATTAGTCATTAGTTCATCAAATAAGTCAGGGGTGTCAAACTCAATTCCTGGAGGGCCGAAGCCCTGCACAGTTTAGTTCCTACCCTGCTCCAACACACTTACCTGTAGGTTTCAAACAAGCCTGAAGGACTCAATTAGTTTGATCAGGTGTGTTTAAGTAGGGTTGGAACTAAACTGTGCAGAGCTGCGGCCCTTTTGGAACCGAGTTTGACACCTGTGATATAAGTCATTGAGTACAAAATGGTTGACCAAGCATTGCTCAGTTCTGTGAGTTTGCTATGAAATGTGCAGGTGAATCTTGAATTTCACTACAGTTATGAAGAGAATGTAGATTAACCAATGATAAACCAGTTGTGACAGACTGCACTGCAATTCATCATGTTTTCTGTGTCTTTCTACACTAATTTTGCGCTTGTGCTTATATATATTTATTTATTTTTCAGATGAGTAGTTTGTGAAAGTTTGCCAGTGAATCATATCCAGTCTCTTTCAATCAATATCTCACATGCTGTAATGTGTACATTTGAAAATGTAAATGTATGTACAGCATACATATTGTAAAAAGTGCAGCCATCTATGTTTCAGTAAAGTAAACCGTCAACCAAATGATTTACAACAGAGTTTACTGTTATATTGAAATAATGACTAAGCATTTTGTTTTTGAACAATGATACAATGACTTTTTATTTTGATTGCACTGATATGTTTATTAACATACATATTTTCGAGAGATAAACATCTGATTTAAGTGAAGTTTACAAACTAATTTCGGGAGAAGCTCGTGATATGATTGATCGCTGCTAGTCTCCCATCCGTAATCATTACTGAGCCAATCAGATTTATCCAAGCTCACTATAAATATCCCATATAGTATTACTGCCTTATCTTCGTTTTTCTGAAAAATCCCACCATCCACCCCATCTCCCCCTTTTCCTCCTTTATTAGAGGGAGATCTCGAGACCTACCTGATTTCGTACCCCTTACATGCTCATCGACCAGGTGGGAGCCCTGGGCTCAATTATCTGTGAGCTTAGGGTTCTCTCTCGGGACAGCATGCCAAACCTGCTACTATTATCAAGCAATATCTAAGTGTGAACTCTTGAAATAAGTCACTGTCATTTGCAGGTATAGTCCATTGTGTTTTGCAGTTTGTACAGTTTGTTTTGAGAAATGCTTATACTACTTTTTAAATTTAAATGATGATTTGAAAAATGTACAAAAGCGACAGAAATGTTAAATGTCCAGTAAGGCTGCTCCTGGTCTAAAATTAATCTCTCTTGGTCTGATTCTTCTCCAACCTTAAAGTGGGTTTTTCTTCCACATTCTTTCCTAAGGAAGATTTATATTTGCACAGCACTTTAGTGCGCTTGGCCGAGGAGAAATCTCAAACAGTTTAAATCTTTGCATTTTTAAAATCCAGATTTATGTTCTGAGAGTATTTGAGCCTCCAGACTAGACTTTATAGGGAGAGTTTTGTCTTAACAGGTAAAAATATGAGCACTTACTCTAAAAAGTGAGTTAGAGTTTACATTAACATCTGCACTGTGTCTTGGTCGACTTTCAGCTGTTGTTTTAAGTTTCTTTGGTTTCTTTTGGATTCTGTTTCTGTTCTATAATTTCTCCATACCCGTTTCTTTGGTCTTGAGTCTGTGTGCCTGAATGAATGTGCTGTTTCTGTTGTTTCTGCAGGTGCAAAACCTAAACAACATCATTTCTTTCCCTCTCGAGAACGTGTTGAAGTCTGAGCTGAGAGACAGCAGGCTGGTGAGTCACCTTGTTGTCAAACTAGACTAAATGCCTCAAAAACGTCATCTTGTAACCAAATGATAGCAGCAATAAGAGTCAAGAAGTTAAATGCTTTTCTTTGTAGACTCCACAAAAGTATGTTGCTTTGTTCACTGGATTAAGTGCTGTAACTATCTTTGGCTTTTGTGGCTTGTTTGGGAGTATTGTGTTTTCTAATGTCTGAAACTCAATAGTTGCACCACACCTTTCTTTATGAGTTGAACCAGTATGATGAGAAGAGATGCACTGCAGGCTCTGAGATCATGTTTTCATACACACCCTGATATTATTGCTTTCACAATATTAATTTCCAGTGAGTGGCTTATGAATGTTTTTTTTTTAATGTGTGTACTGGGTGTTTGAGTGTGTGGTTGTTTTGGGGTAAATTTGTTCCAAAAGGTTTGCTTAATTTGACATAAATTTGATATTTTTAATTTATTGATTATGAATGTTTATACATTTATATCTAAATATGTATATGTACAGTTTGAAATATTTATAAATACACTTACTGGCCACTTTATTGGGTACAAATGACTAGAAACAGGTTGGAGCCCTTTTGACTTTAGATTAGGGACTGGAAATATTTTGAAATATTTTGGTACCATATTGACATGATAGCATACTGCAGTTACTGCAGATTTGTCAGCTGCACAACCATAATTCGAATCTCCCATTCCACCACATCCCATTGGTGCTCTATTGGATTGAGATCTGGTAACTTTTTGAGTTCAGTGAACTCATTGTCATGTTCAAAAAAACAGTCTGAGATGATTTACGCTTTATGACATGGAGCATTATCCTGCTGGAAGTAGCCATCGGATGACGAGTAAAGTGGGTGAAAGATGGATGGACATAGTCAGCAACAATACTCAGGTACTGTAGGTTGTGGCTACGACACAAGGCTCAATTGGTACTAATGGGCCCAAAGTGTACCAAGGAAATATCCCCCACACCATTACACCACCACCAGCAGCCTGAACCGTTGATACATGACAGAATGAATCCATGCTTTCATGTTGTTGACGGCAAATTCTGAAACTACCATTCAAATGTTGCAGCTGAAATCGAGACTCATGAGACCAGGCAACATTTTTCCTATCTTCTATTGTCCAATTTTGGTGAGCCTATTCGAATTGCAGCCTTATTTTTCTGTTTAATAGCTGACAGGAGTGGCATCCAGTGTGGTCTTCTGCTGCTGTAGCCCATCTGCCTCAATGTTGGACGTGTTGTGCATTCAGAGATGCTTTTTTTTTTTTTCTCTCCATTCTTCGGTTGTAACGAGTGGTTATTTAAGTTACTATTGCCTCTCTGTCAGCTCGAACCAGTCTCCTCTGACCTCTGGCATCAACAAGGCTTTTGTGCCCACAGAACGGCCACTCACTGGATATCTTTTTTTGGACCATTCTCTGTAAAACCCTAGAGATGGTTGTGCTTGAAAATGCCAGTAGATTAGCAGTTTCTGAAATACTCAGAGCAGCCCGTCTGGCAGCAATAACCATGCCACATTCAAAGTCACTTAAATCATCTTTCTTCTCCATTCTGATGCTTGGTTTGAACTGCAGCAGATCATCTTGACCATGTCTACATGCATAAATGCACTGAGTTGCTGCCATGTGATTGGCTGATTAGAAATTTGCATTAATAAGCAGTTGGACAGGTGTACCTAATAAAATGGCCGGTGAGTGTATATTTGTAATTTACATTAAATTACTTTTTATGTCCAAATCTGATTACTTATTTGGTGTCAAAAGATACAGTAGACTGCTTTTGTACATTTCATTTATGTATATCTGCATTGTATTAACCCTTCTGCTTAATATTTATCTTCTATCAGGAGCTGAAAAAACAGATGGAGAAAAGTTGGAAGGATTATGATGCTAAAATGTGAGTTTCTGAGTCAAATCTGTCCTTTCAAATTTGATAAAAACCCACCACTTACTTTGTCTGAAAGACAAGTCCGCCAGCTATACTACTGTTTCATTATGATCTTTTCCCTGTTTGCCCATTAATTTTCACTCTGCTTTTCAGAGGGAAGCTGGAGAAAGAAAGGAGGGAGAAACAGAAACAGCATGGGCTGATCCGATTGGACATGACAGACACAGCGGAGGACATGGAAAGAGAACGAAGGAACTTCCAGCTGCAGATGTGTGAGGTATTTGGAGGCACTCGCTTAACAGACTATGAAACATCTGCAAAATTAACCTGACCAAGACCACGTTGTTTTGCGTCTCAGGAAGAATAAGTGCGGTTAGTACAGCTGTATGTGTGTGCTTCAGCGGGTCGTTTATGGGTTACCTCAGCTTGTTAAACTCTCTTTTGTGATGAAAACACTCTTTGTAAATTCAATAAGTGTGTGGTGTTGTCTGAAGTTACCTAAAACCGAGAAGCTGTGGGGAGTGTTTAAGAGACAGCTCTATTTGAGACCACATTGTGTTCATGTGTGTGTGTGGTTAATGATGATGACCTCACACCACATGTCTAAATGGCAACATGTTCAAGTTCTATATATTACGTGCATGTGTATGTGTCAGTTAGCAGGACTGGGGAAATTTGGACTACGCTGCTTGAACTTAGCTGTGGTAATAGAAAGAATACGGAAAAAAGTGAAGTGGAGCAATAAAGAAATAAAGGGGGATTTTCAGTGTCCTGCAGCACTCCCTTTTTCAACCACAGAGCTCCAGATGTCTCCACTTTGCTCTCTTTTTATAGTGGAGACATGCGTTATTTCTTCCAAAACTGACCAAGCGTGTGACCGTTATTAACATTGGAAACTTCTTATATGAATATATGCATAGGCTGCAGTTGTATCTATTGGACTGGATTGCTTAGATACAGAAAACACATAAGATTAAGCAATATTTGATTCTTTTGTTCCCTTTAACCTATAGAAAGTGAATTATTTTTAGTTTATTTAGTTTTAGTTTGGTTAGTTTAGCCATTAGATGATTTATTTTAGTTGAAATATACTGCAAAATCTGTAATCTGATTTTAAAACATCATGGCATCATATATAGTACTAACTTCATTCTCTTTTTCAAAAAATCTTCATTCTGGGTCGTAATGAATTAAGAGATTACTTTTTACCTAATGTGAGCAGAAAATCCCTATTCTCCAAGTGCATACGTCACTAGTGCATACCTGCCAATACTCCCGTTCTCCCGTATTTCAGACCCATCTCCTGCCCTGCCATCTCCTAGCTTTTTGTTTCAGTACCCATGCACAACCCAACATGCAACCATCTTTATACCCGCTCCCTGCTCTTCAGTTTGCACCCCCCCCCCTCCCACAACCAACCCCCCCACTCGCTCTTCATTTCGCGCCCTCTGATAAAATCTCCTGGATTTTATGATCCGAATGTTGGGAGGTATGCACTAGTGCGAGAGTGTGCCTGTCACCTTACAACATTGCTTGAGTCCCAAAGAGTGTGCTTTTGAATGTAATGAAAGGCCAATCTTGTTTAGCCACAGTTAATTTAACCCTTTCATACATACGTTTTAAATGAGTCTGTACAACTCATCACTTTTCAGTTTCTATGGCACACGTCTAGTTATTGACCTGCCCTAGCCCCATTCACTGCAATGGAGATTAGAGCTACTGAATTTCGAACACGTCAAATGATCAATTTCTCCGAAACTACCTGAAACTAATAGTCTGTTTAACTGGTAGAAGAATAGAGTAAACTTTCTAGTTACCCAAACAGTGCTTATCTGATGTAAATATCATGCATGTAAGAGTGTGTAAAATTATTATTATTCCATAGACATCAGCATACATTTTACGTAGCAAATTTTTTGTTTTGCTAGTAATTCTGTGTATTAAGATGTCTGCAACCTAAGTAAAAATTATTCAATTGAAATTGCTTATAGGTTTTGAGGTTTGACTGTTGTTGTGATTTCTCACCTTGGCTCTGCCCATGGCAGATGATTGGAAAGCTATGAATTATTCTTAAAATTATTAAAAAACTTAAGACTGTTAAAAGAAAAAATGATTGCAGTACTACTAAGATTAATATAATATTGGGCAAAGTGAGCATGTTATATCTCCTTTAATAACATATTAACATTTGATATAAATATCTCACATTTTCCCAATGTTAAATCTTTGTTTGTGCTGAATTCATCTACTTTTGCTGTGCGGAATCATAATGCTGGGACACAACAGTGGGATTGACCTTTGAACGCTGACATGATTTTCCTCCCCTTTCTCTATCTCTTGTCTGTTTTGACAGTATTTGCTGAAGATTCAGGAGCTGAAAATTCGTCAAGGTCCAGATCTGCTGCAGGGTCTGATCAAATACTTTCAAGCCCAACTTAAGTACGTCTAAATCTTTTTCAGACGCTTCAGAAGCACCAGCTTCCTTTTGAGATTATTCCAATTCTTATTTGTTTCTCTTTGTGCAAAACTAGACTTTTCACATTAAACTTAACTCTGGGTTAAAGCCTGTTATGACACTGGGTTCAGCATTTGAGTCAAAATAATAAGTATAACTACTGTAAAGATGATTAATTCTGCTCTCAGCTCAGCAATATAATTGAATCTCTGTGGCTCTGTGTGTATATTGAAGTCATTGACATTTTAGACATCTAAATGCTGCTTTTGTGTTTTCAGCTTTTTCCAAGATGGACTGAAGGCTGCAGAGAATCTTGGTCCATTTGTAGAGAAGTTGGCAGCCTCTGTACATACGGTAATGCACTTGTACACTTACACTTGAAAATTTCTTAAAATGCTCATACAATTTGACTTTGAATCATGAGGGGCAGCTCTAACTCGGCTGATTGCTTTTGTGTGTTTTTTGAGAGGTGATGAGTAGATACGGTGGCTTATCTTGTTTATTTTGGATGATACATAGAGTTGGATTATGTGCACAGACACATGCACACATTTTGTTTTTTGTAATAGCTTGTTTTTATGTTAGATATGACCCATTGCAGTCAAAACCTGATGAAATAGCACTCTCCAAACTTCTTTCATAGATGCGTAGGATTTTACCATTGATTATACATGACTGGTCTAGCAGATACAGTATCTGAAAGATTCCCTGAATTACTCTCTAATGAATATCAGGTGACTTTACTAAAGTAAAAGCATCAGTTTCATTAAGTAAAAAACTGTTTCTTGTAAAATCTATCATTACATTTGTCGTATATAAGTGTTAAATAAGTGTTTTGGGATAAGATTTTTTTTATTTTCTGAATAGTTTATTTTCCGTACCCCATTATTGTAATCATAGGTATTTCTGGTCAATTCAGTCATTTCAAGTGAATGTGCCTTAATTTAGGACAGTTTATATATACTAGAGTTTTTCCAAATGAATCAAAAACATCACAAAATGAGGTTTTGAATTAAAAATCTAATTATAAGAAAATGGGGTTTGGAACTTTGTGCACTCTAAGTCAGCCCCTCTCTCTCTTTCTCTCTCTGCTGATTAAAGTATAGCACAAGCTTAGCAAAATGCTAACACAAAACTATGCTTTTTCCATAATTCATCCTTTGTATTGCAGAGAGCAATGACATAAACAATTGCAAAAATCAGTCACTCGTGTAGTCTCATGAGTTAGGAAACACCCTTAGAAACCGAGAAACTTCACACTACCTAGCTGCTCTATAATACTTATTGTATCCAATTTTTATGTTCATTTAGTTCTTAGTTTAGTTTCAGGGAATGAACCAAAAGCTGTTTTAAAACAATTATTTTTCAGCATTTGTTCAGTTGATTTCCCAGCAGCATCATTACTTGTTTCACAAGTGTTGTCTGGTCATGGTTATAGAGAGATCTGATCAAGTTAAGAGTGAATGTTACTCACAATAATGCTGTTCATTTACTCTTTTTCTTGTGTTAAAGTTTGTCGCTTGTTTGTTCCTATGAGCAGAAGGCAGGATGGGACATGTGGAATTAAATGTTGAGATGACACTGTTTTAATACAGAACTGGTTTTAGAGATACATTTCTGAAATAACATTGCTCCTGTTAGAACATGTCCTCCTTTGATCATTACAAATCAAGACTTTAAAGGAAATGAAACTCAAAAATGAAAGAACCACAATCCAGCTTTCCCAGAGGAATTTCCTTTTATAAGAGTATTTTGATTGAAATTGGTTAAAGAAATTGCTGGAAATTTGTACTCTGGGCCAAAGCCATCATTTCAGCTGGTTTTAAGTAATGCAGGATTTCTGGCTTGGTTGGTTTGGTCCTGGGCTTCATTACAAAATGGATAGATGTGTTCCAGCGTGAGCTGTGGTTTCTGTCATCTAGAATTGTTCCATTAATAATTTTTTTAATGTATGTTAACTAACATCTAGAGAGATCACATAATTTTTTACAAAAACAAGCCGCTTATTCATAATTCTGTCGTTCACAGGTTCGTCATGAGCAGGATGAAGAAGTAAAGCAGCTCTCTCAACTGCGAGACTCACTTAGAACACAGCTACAAGTGGATGGCAAAGAGGTATTTCTTCGAGTTAAAAAATAATTCCTTGAATGCACCACATCTTATTCAAAATAGTGCATTTTCCTAAGATGTGTAGTCAGATGGGGAAAAAACTGTTAATCTATATATGCCAAATTGGTTTTACCTTGGTTTCGGTTGTTATAATGGTGACAACAATCAATAGAGATGTTGTTTTGTGTTTCATAACAGGATTTTCTGAACAGAAAGAACTCCGGTCATGGATACAGTATCCACCAGCCTCAAGGCAATAAGAAATATGGCACAGAAAAATCAGGATTCCTTCTAAAAAAGAGCGATGGGTGAGTTGCACACTACTGTCTATTCGGCTCAAGGTTGAAAAGGTCACAACCCATTCCAAAAACAACAACAACAGACAAATTATTTATTTATTAGCTGGACTTGTCCAAGGTTTTCCAGACATGATGCAGTTTTCAGCTCCTGTTTGCTTTTGGTCACATGGGGTGACTGTGTTCCTCTGGAAACATAGCTCTCAGTGTGTGTAGTGAAATATAGGCCCCTATCCTAAAGCTGAATGAAGAAGTGAGTTATAATATCCTGAGAGAGTTATGGAGATTGTTAGCAGCACAAAGCATCAGTCTGAGCTCTGTGACTTTAGGCCCACAGCCGAGATTGTGTGTTTTTGTCACAGTGTTCCTCTCACACAGATGTTTTCTATTAAATGTGCTTCAATCTCCTGCTGCACTACAGTCTTACTTGCACTCTCTTCAAACCTCAGAGTCCAACATACAGCTCACATGCAGTACATCCGGAAAGTATTCATAGCGCTTCCCTTTTTCCAAATTTTTTTATGCTACAGCCTTATTCCAAAATGGATTAGATTAATTTATTTCCTAAAAATGCTACACACAATACCCCATAATGACAATGTAAAAAAAAGATTTTTTGAAATTTTTGCAAATTTATAAAAAAAAAAAAACCTGAATATTCACATGTACAGAAGTATTCACAGCCTTTGCCGTGAAGCTCTAAATTGAGCTCAGGTACAGTCTGTTTCCACTGATCATTATTGAGATGTTTCAGCAGCTTAATTAGAGTTCACTGTCTGTTGACCTCCGAGACAGGATTGTCTCAAGGCACAAGGCTGGGGAAGGTTACAAAAAAGTTTCTACTGCTCTGAAAATTCCAGTGAGCACAGTGGCCTTCATTATCAGTAAGTGAAAGATGTTTGGATCCACTAGGACTGTTGGATCTGAGAGATCAGGGAAGAAGGGCCCTAAGCTGCAGTCACACTGGGCTTTTCCTCCCATAGACTTCCATTCATAAGCACGCGAATGCGTCAGACCAGAAACGTGGGGTCATGCGTTAAGTTTCGCAGGTTGCTGCAGTGCAAAGTTCAAGCTTGATGACCTCTGACCTGCGAAATCACATCACTTGACTGTGTGAGACCAGTGGAGGATCAAAACATGACATCTCTGGACAGAAATTTAAAATATGGAGCAAACGCTCGCGGTTTAAAATGTCTAATAAGCTTGTTAAATCCCGCCTCTTTTTGCAGCGCAGCATGAAAGAATTTCGCACACACAAACTCTAGTGTGACCGTGGCTTTAGTCAGGGAGGTGATCCATAACCCAATGGCCACTCTGTCTGAGCTCCAGCGTTCCTCTTTGGAGAGAGGAGATGTTATGGTATGATAGAGTGGCCAGACGGAAGATCTGAAGCACTCCAAGACCATAACAAACAAAATTCTCTGGTCTGATGAGACTAAAGTTGAATTCTTTGGAGTGAATGCCAGACGTTACATTAAGAGAAAACCAGGCACCGCTCATCACCAGGCTAATACCATCCCTAGAGTGAAGCATGGTGGTGGCAGCATCATGCAGTGGCGATGTTTTTCCGCAGCAGGAAGTTGAAGACTAGTGACTCTAAGCACACCACCAAATTATCAATGAAGTGGCTTCATAACAACTTAGTGAATGTCCTTGAGTGGCCCAGCCTGAGCCCAGACCTAAATACTATTGAACATCTCTGGAGAGATTTGAAAATGGCTAAACATCATCACTTCCCATCCATTCTGAAAGGGCTTAAGAGGTATTACAAAGAGGAATGGGCAAAAATCTCAAAGACAGGTGTGCCAAGCTTGTGGCATCATATTCAAAAAGACTGCCAAAGGTGCATCAACAGTATTGACAAAGGCTGTGAATACTTACAGTAACTACATTACTGTTTTGTTTTACCTAGAATAATAATTAGTGGTTGAGATTAATCTAGTTTTATTAATTGTAGAGAAAGTTCATATTAATTATAAGTCAATAAATTGAACAACTGGCTCCTAAATATTTCTGTTTATAGAGTTTATATAGTAATGCAAACTAGGCCATCATTGTTTTTTCATTGCTAAAGCCATCTGAATGCAATTGTTTAATTTTGTTTATTTGTATCTGAAAAATAATAGTTATCAGTAATGTTTTTAATTTTATTGATGAAAATAGAGCTGTAAATAAAATGATCACAGTTAATCTACTAATGTAAGATGCACAAATGAATCTTTTAAAAATGTTTTTAGAATAGTAAAGGCTAATCGTTGTTGTGTTATGTTTCTTAATTCTCACATTCTAAAACAAATTATGCTACATCTGTACAAAATATTGCAATTGCAATATTTAATGTAAGGATAATAATTCAGAATTCTCTTTTTAATGTTTCTTTGCAGTAATTAATTGGTTTGGAGCTTTTATGCTGATACTGATAAATATAAGATGTGGATTGTTTAGGGGGTTTCACATAATCTTTGTGTTTCAGGATCAGAAAGGTTTGGCAGAAGAGGAAGTGTGGGGTGAAATATGGCTGTCTCACCATTTCTCACAGCACGGTGAGATTTTAGAGAGACAAACACAAATTTCAGTTCCACTTTAATTAATTGCATTACACTGCTTAATAAGCTGATTATATGATCTTTTTGTTTACAAAAATAAATGGCTAAATGCCCAAGTAATTTTTCTTATGTACATAAATAGCACATTGATATTAGTGATGGCACAATAAGTCTGTTCTGACAGTCTCGAGGCTGATTATTTGAGCTTCCGAGGCATGCAGTCAGATTTTCCCATGCTACATGGAAGTGTCTCATCGCTTGTGTATTAGCGATTTCCTTTCAGAACCACACAATGCAGGCCAGAATGCATGAAAGTGTTTAATCTGAAATCATCTGCATTGTCAAAACTCCAAACCTTTCCTGGCATGTCTTTGCATTCAGCTTTTACAGTGTTTTAGCAACCATAAACTTTACTTGAGCTTATACTTGCGTTTCTAACATTAGTCTTGCTTAAATGTAAGTGAGAAATGTTTGCATCTAATTTAGCAGGTGACCATGTATGTGACGAGCATGTGTTTTGAATCTGTTATCTCTCTTCTCTCTCAACCTCAGATCAACAGACCACCCGCAAAACTCAATCTGCTGACATGTCAGGTGCGGCCCAACCCTGAGGAAAAGAGGACGTTTGATTTAGTTACACGTAAGCTGATCTCTGTCCTTTTGACCCCTTTTCTTTTCTGCTGTGGTATGAAGGTAATGACTATTTTTAGAATGCAAAAGTAGCTTTCTATTTTATTAATAGTGCATGCTGTATATCACCTACTGATTAAAAAATTAAAAGTGAAATATGTAATACATTCACACATCACTATATTTGGTATTTTATGAGATCCAGAGTATTTATACTTAATATTGTAGGCATAGTAAGAAAATTGTGTTATTTTGAATCAATCCAAAGACTAGCATGATATGAATATGACCTCAACATGCATGACTGGAAATAATTCTGTGTTTCTGGATCTACTGACCAGCATGTGATGCATTCTGGAAAATCAGATGTGAAATACAATGTCAAACGATCCGTGTTGTATGCATGTAGGTGTTCAGAAGAATGTAAATAAGGTTTTGAGCCATAGGTGTGTGTGTGTGGATAATGAAAAGATTAGGAATGGCTTGTTCTGACCTGTTTTTATTTCCTCCTAAGAGTCAGGATGCCTTTCCATGTTTCCTCTTCGAAGAGGCCCTCCAAACGCAGACACACCTTTTAATATCTCTCTTTTTTCCCTTTTAGACAATCGCACATACCATTTCCAGGCTGAGGATGAGCAAGAATGCATGATGTAAGAGCTGAAACACACACCCACACTTCGCTGTGCACTATTGAATCACACGCTGCAGAGCGACATGTGAAGACTTGCAAAAAAAGCAGGTTCAAAACCTGCTGCTCAAGCGTAGGAAGGGAATAAGGAAGGAGAAAGATTAAGGAAGACAATGAACCGTTAAAGATGCAGCAGATGTTCCTAAAAGATCATTGTTTGCTGGAGAATTGAGATATGAATGCAGATCTTGTCTTGTTGCAGATGGGTGTCTGTGCTGCAGAACAGTAAAGAGGAGGCCTTAAACACTGCTCTTGGAGGAGATCAGCTGCAGTTTCAGGACAGTGGTCTGCAAGAGCTTGTCCGTGCTGTCATCTCAGGCCTGAGAAACCTGCCCGGCAATGAGTCCTGCTGTGACTGCGGAGCACCAGGTCACCACCAGATGTTCTTGATGCATTTTGCTAAGGAATAGTTCACCCAGAAACTACAATTTACTAATTAATTAACTCATTCATTCATTAATTTTCTTTTTGGCTTAGTCCCTTTATTAATCAGGGATCGCCACAGCGAACAACCAACTTATCCAGCATATGTTCTAAGCAGTTGGTGCCCCTCCAGCCACAACCCAACACACTCTTCCATTCACACACATACACTATGGCCAATTTAACTTATTCAATTCACATGTACCGCATGTTTTTGGACTGTGGGAGAAACCGGAGCACCCGGAGGAAACCCACGCAAACACGGGGAGAACATGCAAACTTAAACACACACACAGAAATGCCAACTTACCCAGCTGGAGCTCGAACCAACGACCTTGTTGCTTTGAAGCAATAATGCTACCCACTGTGCCGCCTGTTTGTTTTTTATGTTGATCACAAAATAAGATATTTTGAAACAAACTAAAAACTGGTTATTATTGACATCCTTAGTAGACAAAAACAAATAATTTGACAGCCACTAATGAATGATTTCCAGCATTTTGTGTTCAGTAAAAGAAAGTAAGTCCAAATAGAGTGAGTACATCATTGTCTGCGCCGATAGCCTAGTGGTTGGTGCATCAACACATAGCACCAAGTTGCTTACAGCGACCTGAGTTCGATTCCCAGCTCAAGGTCCTTTGCCAATCCTTTCCTTATTTCTGCTCCCCTCACTTTCCTGTATGTAAATCTCCACTGTCCTATCAGTGAAGATGAAAACCACTAAAAAATGTTTACATCATGATGACAGTTTATTTATTTATATATTTTTGAGTGAGCTATTCCTTTTAAATCATATTAAAATAATTGTTTTATTTATTTTCCACATTAATTTCATTGGCATAAACATCATAATTTTAAAGGGGTCCTATTATGCATTATACTTACATTGGTTTGTTTGTGTAAGACGATTAATGGCATTTGTATGCAAATCAGTTTCTCTGAGTTACTGAACAACACTATATTGGTCACCAACATATGTTTTACTTTTGCTCTTTAGATCCCACATGGCTCTCCACTAACCTGGGCATTCTCACCTGTATCGAGTGTTCAGGAATCCATCGTGAGCTCGGAGTACATCAGTCACGAATTCAGTCTTTAACTCTCGATGTGCTGAGCACCTCTGAGCTTCTGGTAAACACACACACACTTCTCTTTTATTCTGAGAGTATGGGTGGTTTCCATGTTTTCTATGTTGAGGCCCACTAAACACACACACACACACCATTAATTTTCTAATTGCACATATCGTATTTCCTTTTTTTCTTTTTGCCCATAATCCACTGGGACTGAGTCAGCAGTTACTCACGAGTGACTCTTTCTCATCTGTACATGT